CGTTCTAGCTTCATTCAGCTTAGTCTCTTGTAGACACACTACATTGATCTGCTCATCTTTCACTTTCCTCGCCAACTCCCTTCTCTTGGGCAGCAGTGATTGGGCCCCCAGGCCTCTCACGTTCCAAGTCAGCAGTTTCAGCCTATTGCAGCTTCCCTGCACTGGCATCCCCTACCACTAACCTAACCCCTAGTACATCCCTTATTATGTTAAGGTGGTACCTTCCTCTATGTATTGCTGGGGGGGGTGTCCTTATCCTTGCGACACCCATTCAAGATAAGTATATAGTATAGTACCTACCCTGCCCTACTCTACCCTCTCACACCCCCCGTTCCCAAATACCAGTTCCATTCTGGAACTGCACACCCCCCACGTGTTCCATCAGCGGCAGGCACACATTAACACTGTTGAGCAGAGCCAGAGATGTTGTATGAACCAGGTGGTAGTCCTGCGAGAGGGCCACAGGGCCATAGGCTTCGGCGAACCGTATCCAGTGCATGCCTGCCGATCCTAGCCTCGGAACTCCCGGTCTCTTAGGGATGGCTTCCACAAAGAAGACAAAGATGACATACTCATCCCCCCCCGTAGTCTCCCGCACAAATCGGAGTGCTGATATCTGAGGCAGCGGCACCACTTCGTATCTTGGACCCAACCATTCAGCCACCTTCTTGAGCACCTGCTGTTCCCGAGGTGGGCGGGCCACTCCAAAAATTGGTACATCTGTTGTCCCCTCCAGGAGCAGCCTTATTTCCTCTGGCGCCCGCCATAGGACAATCGGGCAGGCATAGCCCTCTCCCGCCCTAAGAATGTCAGGCAACCTGGCCCCCACGCGCTCCTTCCGTGCCAGGTCTTCCAACTGACTCTCAGGCGGCTGGCGCTGCTGACTCTCCTGCTCCTGCGTACTTCGGTTCTCATCACTTGCCACCTCCGCTGGTGTAGCCCCCTCTTCCGACCCCTGCCCCCGCGAAATATGGTGTTCTTCTTCTACTAATCGCTCCTGTTGCTGCTGGCTTGCAGACCCCTGGGCCCCTCCCTCTGCTGAGCAGGGCTGCTGCTGCTGGTTTGCAGACCGATGAACAGACTGTTGGTCATCCTCCGAGCTATCCGATGTCTCTGTAGTAGAGGATTCCAATGAGTTGTCATCGTCTTGGCAGCTTGACTGATCACCCACCCCCGCAGCCTGAAGGCCGAAGTTTGGTTCCTTGAGGGGGACCGATCCCGAAGGCGGTGGTGACTCGTTTCCTTTCTCCTTCCCTCGCAGCGAATACCTTGGTTCATATCCCTTGGTTCCCAAGGGGGATCGATGCCTCTCTCTTGTACACTTCGGCCTTGTTTGTGAGGTTTGCGATGAAACCTGCCGTCACGAGGTCTCCTGACCCATAGTTTTCCCTTGCATGGATGCCACCCTGTCGGAGGAGAAGGTCGGAGCCGGAAAGCATTCTGCTGATGAGGATTTCTTCTCTGGTCCTGTGGTCGCTTGCGCCTTCACCCGTATTTTATCGGTGAGTGGGGGACGTGATCAGCTACAATTGGTGTTTCGTACACCGGCCTAGCCGGTTGCGGCTGCGTGCCCGACTCCCCCACGCTACCCTGTTCCCCTCGCCTTTCAGCCTGCTCCTGCCCTTGTCCTTCCTGGCTTACCTGCGTAGATGTTTCGTACGTCGACCTGCCCGGTTGCTGCTGCGCACCCAACTGCCCCCCACTGTCCTGTTCCCCTCGCCCTTCAGCCTGCCCCCGCCCTTGTTCGTCCTGGCTCACCTGCCTATCGTGTGCGCCCAACTCCCCCAGGCTGTCCTGTTTCCCTCGCCTTTCAACCTGCCCCTGCCCTTGTCCTTCCTGCCTTACCTGCCTATCGTCCGCCTGCGCTTCTTTCCTTCGCTCGCTTTGTCCCCCTTGGCCCTCGGATAACCCAACCCTCCCCCCTCCGTCTCCGCCATCAGCATTCTTCTCGGACGAAGTAGCTCGGTTCCCCTGCTGCCCGTGCGTTCCCTGAGTAATCGTTCCCTCCTGTCCTTCTTTCTGCCGGCTAGTCTCGCCCCCTTCTGCGCCCCCCCGAATCCCTTCTGAAGGCTGTGTCTGCCCGCCGTCCCCGACCTCCTTACCTGACTTGGCTGGCGAAGCCGCAGCGTCCCTCTCTCTCTGGTCCCCTTTTTGTGGCATTTTTTATCCTAGGTTGCATCACATGGACTCAGAATGGAGCTTGCTCCGCATTCTAAACTACTCGGGTTTTCTTTTCTTTGGTAGAGTTTCACCTCTTGGCGGAAGCATGCTTGTATCTAGGCGATCTATCACGGGTCGAGGATCGTGTAGCGGACCTTTGGTTGGCCTGTGAGACCGGCCCCTTGGCCTGTTCTCACAGGCATGTGTTGTATTCGGGGTAGTCCAGTCCAGGTCAGTACCTCTTTCGGTATCATCCAGTCCAATCCAATCCAGCCAGTCTGCTGGGGTATACCCCAGCCAGAGTCTGTACTTTGGGATCATTCTACATTTGCACAGTTTCGAGAACGTGCATTAGAGTCTGTGTGGGAGGTGCGCTGTGCCATCTTGCTCCACCCTCATCCTCCATCTCCATCTCTATCTCAGGCGGAGCACCTCACCCGGTAGGTCCGCCACAGCAGGCAGTGAAATCCAGAGTCCAAACCACAGAACATACCTGCAATCACATCAAAGATTCAACCAAAGTCCACGTACTCCATACACTTAAAAACTTAGTCTGAAATTGACTTGTCTTATGTTACAGGTCCTCTTGATCGTTTCGATTCCGGCCCCTGCTCCGCCTTCCTTTTCCGGTCTTCTCCGAAAAGCCAGTGCGGGTCGTCAGTCTGCATGGGGTCGTCTCCCCTCCCCTCCCACAATACATTCYGGCGGTRTCTTCCTYTTCCCTTAGCYGGCTTCCTCSGCCTTTCTTCGTGACAGGCCTGGCTTGCGGCCTCCTTCCGCGCCTGCGCTGCAATGCTGGCCTCCTTCAGGAGGGCGTTATCCACCTGGAGCTCCAGCTCATGCCAGGCCCTCCTTTCTTCCTGAGGATTCGACTGCAAGATCTGATCCATAGTACTTCTCACCTCCCTTTAGTGCATCTCCTGCAGTGTCTCAGCCGGCGTCAAGCATCTTCCATGGAGCCCCATGTGGCCATGTGTGAAACACACCTCGCAAAAGGGTGTCTCACTCGTTACTACTCTCACCTCTTCGAAGCTATAAGGGCCGATAGCCACTGCGACGCTGCTCTTCAGCGGGTTCCGCATCGGGCCATCCAGCACATACTTCACGTACTCTCTTTGCTCATCGTCCACCCGCTGTTCACTAACAATTGGACCAAAGAAGTGCTCGGCAGCCCCTCTCATCCATTTCGCTGCCAGTAGGGAGGGTTTGAAGACTTTCAGCCATGGCCGTCGTTTGCGCTCACGCATTCTGTCCGCGTTCATTTCCGCTGGCAGCTTCCATGGTTGATATATCACTTGGCCATGCACTTCTGCCACATGCAGTTCGTCCCTCATTCTTTGTTCGATGAGCCAGTTCCTCATCTCAACCGTCGGCACTAAGTACGCGACCGTCAACTCCCCCTCTGTGGATTTCTGATAACCCGTTTTTGAGAGGTAAGTTGAATATGGCTGAGTATAGCACACATGTTCACCCACAAATCAATTCCGCAATCGTGATGTAAAGCATATGAAGATTGGCAAACACAAATAAAGGTATAAACATATCTTTTACCTTTTTTTACTACAGTGGTAATCCAACAGCGATTTCTGTCGTCGTGGTGCATACAACAATGTAAGTTACAATTCACGAGGCCGCAGTGGTAGAGACTGCTGTAGGTGACGGCAAGTTGAAGCTGGTAGGCAATCCCTTTTCAAGTTTCAAACGGTTGAATACTCGGATTGAGTACTCAGCTTTTGTTTTAATCACAAGGTGACGGGTTAATTACACAACCAATATACGTCATTGACTAGCTTCAAATATGGCCACGGAATTCTGATTTGCATCCATTGTCACCAAGCAGTTTGGAACATGTTTCCTTTTCTCTTCTTCTTCTTTTTCTTCTCCTTCTTCTTCTTCTTCTTCCTCCTTTGTTTCCTGAACCATTTAACCATCTATGCATATCCATCTTTTGTAACAATTCATTTTCAAAGCACTAAATGAAAAAGTGCTTTGAAAATGAATTGTTACAAAAGATGGATATGCGTAGATGGTTAAATGGTTCAGGAAACAAAAAGGAGGAGGAGGAAGAAGAAGAAGAAGAAGAAGAAGAAGAAGAAGAAGAAGAAGAAGAAGAGAAAAGGAAACATGTTCCAAACTGCTTGGTGACAATGGATGCAAATCAGAATTCCGTGGCCATATTTGAAGCTAGTCAATGACGTATATTGGTTGTGTAATTGATAAATTGAGATATTCCAGTTTGAGCTTTGAACATCCATTCCGGCCATTATTTTGGACGAAAAGCTGGCTGTTATTACCTGCAGGTTCATTACTTCCACCTTCGTTTGCACCCAATTGTTCTTTAACTCTCTCTCTCTCTCTCTCTCTCTCTCTCTCTCTCTCTCTCTCTCTCTCTC